AGCCTGTGACTGCGAGCCTGTGTGTGTGGCTGTGAGCCTGTGACTGTGAGCCTGTGTGTGTGACTGCGAGCCTGTGACTGTGTGCCTGTGACTGCGAGCCTGTGTGTGTGACTGTGAGCCTGTGTGTGTGACTGTGTGTGTGACTGTGTGTGTGACTGTGTGTGTGACTGTGAGCCTGTGACTGTGAGCCTGTGACTGCGAGCCTGTGTGTATGACTGTGAGCCTGTGACTGCGAGCCTGTGTGTGTGACTGCGAGCCTGTGTGTGTGACTGTGTGTGTGACTGTGTGTGTGACTGTGAGCCTGTGACTGTGAGCCTGTGACTGCGAGCCTGTGTGTGTGACTGTGAGCCTGTGTCTGTGTGCCTGTGTGTGTCACTGCGAGCCTGTGTGTGTGACTGTGAGAATGTTAGGGGCTGATAGGAGACAGTGAGGGGACCACTCAGACATCAATGTGGGGTACACACGATCCTTATTGGTGTCTCCAGTTAGTTTATGTTCGGCCTCAGCGATCGCCATGGCGAGCGGTCCGTGGCTGGCGAGACACGGAGTTCCACCACGGGAGGCCTCTTGGTCACGATCCGACGTAGGATCGGCCAACAGTCTCAATCGGGGTCGCAATGCCTCAGGTCCATCGGGTCCCTTGGTTCATGACCACGAGGAGGGTCCAAGCTCCCTCGGCCGGCCACTCTTATGCATCTCTAGCGCGTCTCCGGATTGGACCGTGCGTTGTTCGGAGATAGCGGCCAACGGCCACTACATGGTCGAGAGCAGCTTGGTTCAATTTCTGAGGGAGCTCCCAGCACGTGGAGAAAAACGTCGGACATCGTGCCGAACAACACGAAGTGGTATGAACCCGAGAACGCATCTGAGAGCTTGCGCAGCACAACCGTGAAACCCTACGGAGTGGCACGCTGAACGTTGCTGTGCACGGCATATTAAATATGTCACAAAAGCAACGTAAAACGTCGAGCAAATTATTTTGAGATGTTCTATGCTCGGCCTCTACCACCGCAAAAGCAGCGTCGTAATCACAAATGAATATTAAATGAAGATAAATTGCACTTGGCATTTGACTGCTTTGCGTCGCTCAAACGGGCGGCTGTGAAGTGCTTTACGATGCTTGATTGTGAACCGTTCCGTCCCACGCAGCACGCAAATGCGTTGTGGGTTCATGCTGCTCCTGGCTCGCAGTCCAACTGGAACACAGCTCGACATCCGCCTCGTTCACATGTCTGTGACCTCCACGTAAAGTCATTGTCTTACACAAGCCACACAAGAGATGATTGCCTTGAACCCGGTCTCAAAGTTTGCGTGTGTTGAGACTGACGTTGCTAACATTATTCACTCCCCCCAGAAGACCGTGTGGCTGAACGTGTAAAAAAAAACAGTTTCACACGGAGGCTTTCGCGACCAATATCCATAATAGAGGTTTTGGGGTTAGATGTAAATGTTGTGGGTTTACTCTCCAATACACCGGTGTGCTGTACTAGTAACGAATTGGCATGTTCTGTTTACGTCATAAACCTTACAAATTGTCTGTTGTGTGGTGGTGGGTTCAACAACACATTTATATTTACGTGATCTAACCCAAAACATCTCTTATGAAAAAAATACACTTTCATTTTGTATATGGATGAACAGATATGTGGAGGTGCTTTTGTCTGCTTATTTATTTTTGTTACTTTTATGTTTCCGCAACGAGGCGACTGATGGTGTTGTGTTATTTACTTGAGCTTTGAAGCCATCTGGTGGAATGGGAGCAGCAGCTGCGCAGAAAGGGCATTTACCTTCAAGCTAGACTCCTGCAGGGCCAAGCAGGTGCTCAGGGATAAAAGTACAGCCCAATATCCAGGCCCTCGCTTGCACTTGCAGTCACGGATTGAAATCTGGAATTACTTCCCACACTGGCGTCTAAGGGAACGAGCCACACAGCCTGGGGAACTATCAACAAATCACGATAAATATCTCTTGGGTAATTAATTATAGCATCGTAAAATACTTCTTTGAGAACTAAATAAGTGTGCAGTAGACGGTAATGACCTATTTGTGATTTATTTTACCTTCATAACAGCTATTTACACAACGTATTTCTGCCACGTGTATTCATAACTGTAAGATGTTCACACACTTCATTGTGTATGCATATAGAGCCATGTGCTAAACACATACCGTCATGTACATTTCATGAGATTTCTGCCTCTAATCACAGTTAATTTCCTCTTGCAATTGCAATTATGAAACATGCATGGAAATCGTGATGTGAACTTGGGGAAAACGAAGCTCTGTCCTCAGCCCTACATTATTATTCTAGCACAGACTTTTTTTAGCATAACAATTGGCACAATGCCCGAGCTGCGAGACAAAACCATCTTAAGCCACCATTGTTCAGGCGCTTTACAATTCGCAGAAAAAGGGGAAGCCTTGAGCCGCAGACGGCCACGCAGAGAAAGCCACAGACTGAGAATAGAAAGGGCCGTGCTTCGTTCAAGAGCGGGGAAACTTAGAAAGGAAACAGAGTGTAGGGGGGGAGGGGGCAGAGGTCACGTTTGAGCGTCTGCGGGGGTCACCCTCATCTGCATGCAAATGCACGTGGCTGCGTGTTCCCACGCATCCCACGCACAGAGAGGCCCGGACGGTTCCCACGTGACTTGCCGCTGGGGGGGGGGGGGCAGGAGGGAGAGGCCTCCCTCACACGGACAACGGAACGGGTTAATTCGTCTCTCTTCGAACCCTGGCGTACTGGAGGAGAGATGCGTTGCGGACGGTCAAAGTAGAACATCTGGGACATATTGAGCTGGTTTTATGTTAATTGCTCTGGAGCTGCATGGGCAGCCTTGTTGAATGCGTCACATGGAACGATTAGGGAATACAAGACCGGTGCTGTGACCGTGTGTCCGTTAAGCCAGACTGAGACCACTTGCCTTGTGCTGCTGTCTTTCCTATTTTCACGTGATGCCGATTTTGCGACGTGCGTTTTTTGCCGGTGGTGATATTGCGTGCGGACGTCGTATGCAATGGGTTGTTAATTTGATTTTGCGAAATGTAAATCTGTCACTTAGTATTTTAACAAAAGGGAACCGTCCTTGTCATTTGCCACTGCTATTTGGGAACAGGTGAAGGGTCACGGTGGCATGAATGCTGCCGTGACCCCACAGCAATGGAATGAATGGCTTTGACCCTTTTCTAACCAGATGGTCCACGCCACGATGACATTCCTCAGCAATTTCGGTGGGAATGTTTTAAACGCCATTTAATTAAGAAAAAATGCCGATGCTACAAACTCTAGAACGCACCCCTATGACCGATGTTGGCTCATGGAGACTGCGAGTAATCGGTTTCCTTTATCACGAGTTTTTTCCGCTTCTATTATGCTCGTGTTATTCTCATGCATTGACATTCCAGGTCACATTGTCACACTTCATAAATGTGCATCCACTAGTGCCATCAGTCCATTAGCAACAAATCACCACCTTAATTGTTCTTTCCAAGGCCAATGCATATGCCATACAATGTATACCCAATTATACTGAATCAGTATTTTAGAGACGATGAGAGCATTCAGTTGGCTTCTGTGAAGCTGTCACAGGAGTCACACGTAATGGCGGACTAAGTGGTGATGCACAATAACAGCACAGACATCCAAGTGCCTCAACATATAATTTCACACGCAGAAATGGAGATTGTTAATTAATTATTTTTTCACCACCGCAAATCAAACATAACATGCACGGACACTTGAATTGCTTTTAACGGACGCAAATGTATAAACAAGTAAAAAATTTACATATTGTCCACAGACAAGTGAATGATTTAGACAATTAAAGTGCACAAACAGCTTGTGCTTTTAATGTGCGTTTGTTTACCAAGTCAAAATAAATCTTGAGAAAAAATGTTTACTTCGAAGGTAAATGATATGGCATGCAGATAGAATTCTTGTTAATGTTTAAGTTAGATGTATTCGTTTGAGTTCAACGTCAATTTGATGATATAAAAAATGGAACTCATTGAATGTTTGCTGTGACTTGCTCCAGCATAGAAAAAGCTGTATTGCAAATTTAATGCAATTTATAATTACATTTCGTACTTACAGGGAACTCTTAAAAGATTAAATGTAAAAAAAATATTGTCCACAGACACAATGACTCTTTCTTTCTCTACGGGAACATAAATCACATTTAGGAGTCATTCCAAAAGAGCAATTTCGGCATTGAATTTTGATAACAATGGCCCGCTAAATTAACCTTACACAAATGTTATCCTCTTTGCCGCCCCAGCCATCAAACAAGTTATCGCTCTCCGAGCATTAGGGCGATAAATTGTTTCGTTATCAGTGGCACGCTATCAAATGTTTGGATGTGGAGCAGACGAGACGAGACAGAGCCATCCCAGCTTTGGGGAGGGAAGCAGATGCCGCAATTTCTGTCACCGGGGCTCCAGCTGGAGCCGTTCAGCTCGATTACAACAACAACAAGAATAATTAAACTCCCAGGGGTAAACGCCTTTCCAGTCGAGAAATAGCAACGCGCAAAAAAGGTGTGTGCTGCTCACAGCCGCAAGGCGCTTGTCGCATCACGCCACGGCTAATGCTCCTCAGCCTTGTCCAGACCATCAACCACAAAAGGGCTGAACAGGTGGCCGCATTATCGTTAAGACCACCAAACTCAAAGAGTTGAACACGTGGCTGTTTGCAGTCACACGTCTCCGTGCGTGTTGTGGGTTGTATTCGTTCCCAGCCTGTGAGGCATTCTCCTGAACACTGCCAAGCCCTTCTACATTCCCGCACGAATAAGTGGGCAGCTTCTGAGATTTGGGCACACTCCGAAAAAAAAATTGGGGGGAGGGGGGAAGGTGGGTGGGGGTACATTTGGCTTAAAACACACACAACTCAGGTGATGATGAGTGGGGGCGAGTCGAGGAGGGGGAGAGTCACCCTCCGTGAGGACACGGCACCGGCTGGGCACGTAGCGGGGCAGGGCAGGCCAATGGCTTTGCGCACTCACACGTATTCGGAGACGGGCGCATTGGTGATGGACTGGGAGGTGGGCTGAATGCTCGTCTGGCTGCCGAAGCTGCTGTAACTGTAGAAGCTCGGCAGTGGCGGGCGGCGTGTGTTTCCGGGCGGCTGCCGGCACGGCTCATCCTCATCCATGTCCTCATACTGCCTCTCCCTGCGGGGACCATACGACCAGAACCACCACCACCACCGTCTTTCCTTCTCAAAGGTGGCAGCAGCAGCAGCAGCGAGCAGTAGCCACTGTGCCGCCCCAGTCAGTGCATGATGTCCCGTGCGACATCCGGTCGGAGTTTACAGCCCTGGCCTGACCCACGTGTTTATCGTCAATTCTGAATGAAAGCGAATGTCCAAGCGGCACTGCTGTGACCATTCCGCTCCGAAACACAGGACCCAAGTTACACGTTGCCCAAGCGGCCGAAAAATCACGAGTCAGTGACCCAAGTGTGAGCGTACCTTGTGGTAATTTGAGTTCGCTCGCGGCTTAGTGTCCTGGTAGACACAATGGTTAAGGGTCACGAGCCCCTCTAGTTCACACTCCTGCTGCTGCTGCTGCTCTAATGCATGGTTCACGCTGTCCGTGTCAGGCTTACTCCACTGCTAACTCCACAAACTGCAGCGGAATTCCCCCGTGCGTGGACTCAAACGAGCGCTTCCCAAGCAGTATGCGGACAACCTACGTGGCCTTGTCAATGGTATTACTTGTTACTCCGCTTGTTTACAAAGGAAAGCCTCTCCGAGTCCCATGGCTCTTATTCAGGAGAGTCCTGCCAACTTGTAGCAGTCGGGGCCGATGCTGCTGCTGTGTGATCCCAATTGAGTAATTTGCAGGTTTGTTTTTTCTGCATTGGGACGTTTGGCCCGTACAGGTTACATTGTTTTGTTTGCTATGAAAGGAAACTCAGGAATGTCAACTGATCCTGTTTTAAATGCAGCTGTAAAATTATCCGAATAAACACGATACAATTTACAAATTCCCGTAATTTTTTTTATCCATTAACGCCTGTCTGTCGGTAGCAGTAAGAAACTGCGTCATCAGCCCAGGAAAGATTCCTTTTCCTTGAAGACCAAAACAAATTACGACAGAAAGGTCCGTTAACGATTTCACATAAACCAGCACTTCAGTCTTTTCAGAATTCCACGTAATTTGTAAACGTCAAGCCACGCGCCTCGCTTTGTTGGCCCAGAGCAGCCGGCAGTGGCGAGAGAACCGCACGGGCAAAGTGCTGTCCACATGCGAGAGCGCCACGCGCGCCGTCACCGCCGTGCGCCGCCACCGCCGAGCCCGCGCCGGGCAAGCACGGTGGCGCGACGGATGCCCCGCAAGCCGGCGCTTTCACTGCGGGGGTTGGTGGACCGCGCGGGCTTCGTGGATTTGACGCCCCTCGTCGTACGGGCTCACGGCGAGAGCGGCGCTCGCCTCCTCCTCCTCCTCGCAGCCTTGCGGAGCGGCTCGCAAGCGGAGCTCAAATACCGGTTGGGGCCGACTCGGCCCATCATCCGTCTGGGGTCAATAAAATAGGTACCACTTTTTTTGGAGGGTAAATGTCAACAGTGGTTGTCCTGTGGACACACTTGCCCCTGCCCCCTCATAGGAATGTGGAACTCCTACCAGTGTCTAACAGGGCTGCGAGTGAGAAACGAGCACTGTCGTGGTGCAGCATTACGATAGCGGGGCTCACCTCTTGCGGAAGTTGCGCCAGGTTTTCGGGGCGATGCAGATGACGCTGTTGAACATGAGGGCCGAGACGATGGAGAAGAGCGCCAGAAAAAGCATCCCTTTGAGGCCCTCCGAGCACACCCCGTTGAGAGCTTCCACGTAGTCCTGCAGCGGGGGCAGCGCGTGTCAAAGCACGTGTCACACCACGTGACAACGCACCACACCAGTCACCGCACCACGTCACACCACGCATCGCCCCACGCGACACCACGTCACACCGCACCACAGTTGCTCAACATCTGCCCATCTCCTGCTGCTCAAATGAGTGTTGACGCCACGCTACTGATTTCCCGTTAACAGCCCTGCAGAGTGCGTGGTGGAAATTCCACATTTCTGTTAGGTGAAAAAAAAATTTTGGCTCGTGTTTTTTTTATTACAATTCTACTATGAAACGGTGATAATAATAATAACAACGTGTAATCAAGAAATACACTTTGAACAAAGGTTTTGACGAGTTCAATAAAATAATAAATAAAAATAAAAGGTAAAAATTAATACAATTAAATTAAATTTGTATCTTTTATTTTATTTGTATTTATTATTTTCTTGACCTACGTGACTTTACCGAAAGAACCAAGAATACAGAGTATAATTGTATCTTGTGTAAATTTAATGGCAGTGATTCTTGCACGAAACTATGTCATAAAACACCTCACTTCATGTCACTGCAGCACTGTATATAACTGACCTTCAATTTGTTCAAATTCACTTTATTCTCTTCTGCTTTCCATCGATGGGGTTGAAATAAATTGGAATTCCATACAATATCTGGGAAATCACCAAGAAATGTCTATTTTACCATAATGTAGAATCATAAATTAGACTAATCTTTTGTCGCAAGTGCTGAAGAAATAAATAAAGACACCAAATCCACTTTGTTGCTGCGTGGAATTATTAATTAGATTAACTTTCAATAAAGAAACGTCAAACCAGTATGGATCGTTGTTTAGACGAGCTACAACAGTGAGGGAGGTTGAAGTGCACACACAGAAGGCGAGGCCTTTATTCATGGCCTTGGGGCAGTGTCGTGGGAGTCCTCACGGGGAGGAGACGTTGCGCTTTGGCTTCCCCGCTGCCGCCCTACCGACCGCCACATACTCCACATGCGTTGCGGCGTGTACGCATGTTGAACTCCTATCACACCGTACGTAGCCAACCGTGCTAATCGGAGGTGCGCGTGTAATTTTTTATCTCTTTATTAATAGACTGAGACCCAATATCGTGTGGAGTCCAGTTAAACAAAAACCACCCCCAGCTGGGAACACATCGATCGTGAATTTGTGACGTAACACATTTATAAAGATCATGTTGACGCCGCGTAATTTTATCAACTTGATTTTTATGAACGAAACGCTCTGCTTATGTTGTGAGCGTGATTTATGAACCGTAATTAATTCTCGACACAACAGAGGTGCGGGGTATCTCCTGGCTCTCTCTCAGCTTCCCTCTCACATGAAGCGAAAACACTCCAAGACAAAATGGACCACATTCTCGAGACTCGGCTGTCTGGGAAAAACAATCTTTATAATCTTGATTTGAAGCTTTCGTGACTGCAGGAATCCATACTCCTTGGTTCTTTCGGTAAAGTCACGTAGGTAAAAAATAGAATAAATCACGACGTTTCGATCGCAACACAAGCGGTCGTCCTCAGGCGGAAAAAATATAATCCATAATAACGAGCATCCTCCCGAATTTGAGAAGTGCCAATGACGAACTTGAACATAACAGAGCCAGGTCACGGGCCACTTTTGCGTGAGTGGTTAGTTGGCTGATGCATCACAGCCTGACTGTTGAGTTTACAACCAGGCGTCCGAGTGAGCAGGCAATGTCTGTTGGGAGCGCCACCGCCACTTCCTAGATTTTGTCACGATAACGTCTTGACGGAATCTCGAGCGAAACGCCGCGTATTTCATCGCTACCTCTGGCCGAGACGTGAGCTGAACAAAACGATAATAATTCATTTGTGCGTCGTTCTACGCTCGTAAACGTGGTGATCCAATTGTTTGTGTCGGGTGGTGGAGGGTTCCTAGAGTCACAGTGTTGGCTAGATCACTGTAAATCAATTATGAATAAATTATAAATCATCATATCAGCTGGGAGATAATTTAAACGGGTACTGTTTTCGTAAAAGCGATAAAATAATGCCTTTAACCGAAAGCAACTCACCCTTTTTAATGTGAGCCAAAAACACAAATACTGAACTGCATTGGGTTAGAGGATTTTATTTTATTCGTGTTTGCAAAAGCAATGATCTTGTACACTATAAGACCTCAAATGTGCTTTGTTATTCTCCAGTGCCTATCACACCGGATCACGATTTTAAACTACTTTGCATCAATGTAAACATATTCTGGAGTGCCGTATTTCAAATGTATTATTCATCATATAAAAAAATATATAACATTTATAATATCTAGCATAATATAGCATTCCCGTAACATTGTGCAATTGCTTTGGCACTGCTAAACCAAACATTGCGAGAATACTTTTCAAAGAAATTTTAAAGCCATGAAAGCAGGGGCTTGTGTACGGTCTTTTTTTCGGTTTTTACATTTGGGTTAAACAGCTGTTGGTATGCCACTCGTTAATTAAATACTTTATAATTAAATCTATACTCTAACCGCAGTTTATTTCACGTTGCACTCGTTATCCACTCAAGCTGCAACACTGCTGAGAAATGTAATCATATCATCGTGGAATTTCCTTTCCTATCCTTGGGGAATATTGTATTGCACCGCAGTTAATCCGCGTACAAACCAAATACGCGCAGGAAAATGTCAACTCTAATTAACGCACTTTTAATGTTGCCGTGAAAATAGCTTCGAAAAATAAAACCGGTCGTGGTACACTGTACTGCCAGGACATTTTTCCCATTTCCAAATTTCTGTAGATAAATAGTTGTGGAGCAGAGGAGTTTTACTCCAGATATTAGGAATAACATATCTGTTGCTTTGTGCAAGGCCCCCGCCCATCATTGCGGATGAAAGGAAACTTGTCTTTCTATTGTCGTTCATTTCACACATTAACTGGAAGGATCAACAACGGCACTGACTGAGTAATTGTGAAAGGGCTACATAGCGATTTGCTCGGCAATGACTCCTGCACACAAGATCAGCAGGCCACCCCCCTGGCCAGAGGCAAAACACAGCATCAGCATTGGGAAATGTGAGCAAAGAAAATGATTTGTGGCGATTTTCAAGCGGGGACCGGGAGCCTACGTTACAATAAAACTAATCTCTTGTTGCCCGCAATTGCAAACTGCATGATGATAAATGGCTCTGCCATTTAGAGGCATGAAATCATCAAGCAGCACGTTGATAAAATGGGCTGAGGGAAAAACTGTCTAAAATATCAATTATATTCATGGTTTGTAGTCATTGCTAGATGTTTTCCATCAATGCAGTTCTTCCTGTACATGTTGGTTAATAACATTCTTTCAAAAAACATGTCTACAAAAATCGATAGCTATTATTATTTAATAGGCTAAGAACACGACATATTTATTTTATGTTATGAGCTAAAACCATTTGAACTGTTTTTGTTTTACCAGGTAAGGCCCACTCAGGTATGTCGCTCTTTTTCAGAAGCGACCTCGCCACAAATTATATCTCAGTTACGTGGCTTATCATGTGGAAATTTATAGCTGCTAAATGCTCTAAATGCATGTTTCTAAATGTGGAGGGATAAACTGGAGGACCTGGAACAAAAGCCATACGACCACGGGGAGAACATATACAGGCTTCAGGGTCGGGTTCGAACCCATGCCCTGCTGTATACCAGGCGAGATAGTTAACATCTCAACATCGTCGTGCCTCAGCACACGTGTAAGGATATTAACAAGCAGCACGATTGGGGTATGGGAAGACGATACGATCGCACTGCTATCTAACTCTGTGTTGATATACACTGTGATATGCACCACGATATGCACCACGACATGCACTGCAGAGCAGATCTAGGCTCGCTGTTCAACAGCGCTTGGAATGTTTGGTAAAACAGCACCCGCCAAGCAGCTGTGTATAATCTTAAACAGGTTTTAAAAACATGCCAAAGAAATCACAAAACCAGCTGGTGCCATTCAATCTCTCATGACGTTTCAAAATCCTAAACACATGCCGGTGAGAAATGTAAAACCTTTCAACAAAATACTGTACAAATAAATTATTATTATTATTCTGCTTGGTTACCCAGGAAAGTCTCACTGGGTCTCCGTACTCTTTTCAGGAGGATCCTGCCAAGTTGTCGCAATTGGGGGCGATATTGCATCTGCTGTGTGCGGTCCCAAACAAGTACATTGCAGATAAATGTCCGCATTGGTAATTATTTTGGCCAATACCGGTTCGTTGTATGGATTTTTTTCCAGCTATAAGGAGGAGACAGGAACTCAGAGAAGACCCAAGCAGAACACGGGGAGAACATACAAACTCCGCACAGAGCGGCGGCTGAGTCAGGAATCGAACCCAGGCCCTTCTCCGTGCGGTGAGGCCCGAGTGTTACCACGGCACCACCCTGCAACCCAAATAGAGGCTCCAATGTTGTAAAGCCCAAGTCCGTGGAAATGAAATCAAACGAATGCAATGCACAATGCACACGTGTTCCTTCAGCCAGACTCGACAAGTCGCTCTCGTGTGAGACAGCGTCCACCGGGGCACCATTCACCGTGTCGGGTGAATCGCGCAGCGCCCAACTCGCTTTGCTTGAAGTGTGTTTCAAGTTTCACACTGGAACGGGGGGGGGGGGGGGGTGTTTTTGTTGTAACACAGTTGCCAAGCGCAGGCCAAAAGGCCTTTGTTTGGCTGTGGCAGGTCGTGGAGGGTTCTGAATGCCACATTTTAGCCACGATCGCTATGTGACCAAAAGCAACATTTAATTATGAATCAGCGCTATTAAAGTTGCAATAGATAAGAGTGAACGTGTTTCTTGAATTGAGCAAGGGAGATAAGTGTTGTGACTTGCAGTGTGGTGAGTGTGTGGGTGAAGAGTGAGTTAATGAGTGGGTTAGTGGGTGAGTGAGGAGGCAGTTGAGCTGCAGTGCGGTGATTGAACACAATGTGGATGAGACTAAAGAGTCAATATCTGGAGGAGGAATCAACGAGTCAAGTTCATAGGAACAGTACCCGTGGATAGTAGCGATAGAAGAGTGATAAGGAGGTGGCTGCCCCCGTCGAGTGAGGGAGCAAATGCCTAGAGAGACACAGTGAGCACTGCGTCATCAATCACCCAGACTGCTTTGCAGTGGATTCTGTCAAGTGCAGTAACGTCATAGCTGGGTTTCTCCACCCCAGATATGAACACAGGATTCCAACTTCTGCCAAATTTTTACTTCAAATAACCGTAATATTTGGCATTGTTTTTAATTCTAAGATGATGTATCACATGTTTAGGTGTATGACTTCCAGTCCTAGCAGGTGATATTCACACATCCATTTGTTTGTATTTGTGCCTTCAAGATGAGTTTTCAAGAATGTGGCCCACTTGACATCATCGCCATGTTCCACCATTTAACAAACTAAGCTCAACCCAGCTGAGCTTCTAGGATTCCAATGGATCACCGGTGCATCCAGGGTGATTCGGTCGAGCAGCCTGTGTGCTGAATTAGCGATTCTACAACCGTATGCAATTCTTACAAGAATAATACAGAATAATCGAATGCATGGATTCGGCCAGATCCGATTCCCATTAAAGTCTCGGTCACCTAACCATGAACACCAGTCACACGCCTACCTGCGCGGGGAACATGAGGTGTTATTTGTTATAAAACTAAACGGTATACAGTGACAAGAAGACAAACAGACTTGGCCATGTTATTCACCATTTGGAACCGCAAGTTTGAAACGCACAGCCCAATATATATCCATAAACAAGATGAAACATTAAAATATAACTTCATAAGTGACTAAATTAGGATTAAAATGTATACCTACGTTTCTGCATTTGTAAAATCTAATTTTCAACTGTTTCTGCATCACGGCTCGAAGCTGCGGCGAGATTTACACGGCCTATTGCTGCACAGCAAACGGATAATTAGCCCATGAGTAACGTGTCCCCGGCAGGCCGCTTTTATGGGGCCCGCCATCAAACTCGCGCACAGCGAGCGCACCGCAATAGGCTGATCACGTGCCATGTGCGTGGAGCAGTGGCTCCTCCAGTCTCATACAGCTCATGCTAATTATCCGGGAGAGAGCAGGGTCAAGACAAAAGTGATTTCCTGCTCAAATTGGCATGGAGGGGGTGCTCATCTCCTGTTTACAGCCCTGAGCCAGTGGTGGAAATTCCACATTCCCATTGCAGGGGTAAGTCTATCCATGGAACAGCCACTGTTGGCGTGCCCCACACAAAGCGGTACTCATGTGTGCACCCTGACGGGATGGTGGCCGAGTCAACGCCCAACCAGCGTTTGTCGATTTGGAGCCGCTGAGCCACCTGGCTGCATTTGCCACTCCTGAGCAACAATCTTGATGACCACAACTGCCGCGAGGTGTGATCTCCAGCCAGCTCACTGCTCCAGTCAACTAGGCTAATGAAAACAGGATCATGGACTCAAGGTTAGAGACAAGATCTGACGTGAATACTCGAGAGCCCACCCAAAAACAACATGAAATGTGTAACTTGCTTTGTGCATTGCATCGCCGTTTGAGTCAATCCAACGTTTGGCTGAAATCAATAACTCAGGCACATACTGTCCATGCATTGTTCGTGCAAAACCTGCACCGTACGCAGAGTATCCCAGACGTGGTGATATTTAATCCTTGTCATGTTCCAATGAGCATTGTGCCCAAGAGACAATCGCGGAGAGGAATGTCAGCATTTCTTCACAAGGACTTCCAAAGGACTTATTCGGAAGTGATGGTATGTGACCTGATGAAGTCTGTCGTCAAGGATCACATGCCTATGATAACCTGACTCTAACCCTTCCATCAATACCACCTTGAATAAGCCACTGTGTGATTACACGCATTATTAAACTATCAACGTTAACATTTAGAATGAGTTAACACGTCAGTCTTTTTCACTACGCCAGCAGTGTTGTCATGAAGCGGGACTGGAATTGTTTCCAGTGGAATTCTATTGAGTTGGAAGTGGGCGTCCCACCCTTCACCTCACCACCACACACGACCTGCCGAGCCACTCGCTGTGCTGCCCCCAAAGTTGGTTGGCTCGCTGGGTGGACAGAGGCTGCGGGAATCAGGAAGCTGGCGCCGTTGTTTAAACGGCCGTGCCAGGAGATGGATCAAACCGACGACCGCTGGATTACAAGTCCAGAGTGCTGGCCATTACATCGCTGTGGCAGCAGTACAAGGGTTACGTTCGTCACGAGACGTGTGTACATATATTGAACTTCCTTCGCACCGTACGTATCCAACCGTGCTAATCGGAGGTGCGGGGGAAGGACAAGGAGTCGGGAACCGGATGTTGACTGTGCAGCTATCAATGCGGTTATCACGAATGCAAAACTATCTTAACCAACAGAGTTAACGCCACGTTCACCACATTGCGCGGCAATTACTTTTAAATTATATACTTCAGTAATGTCGAGTAGAATAATTATCAGAATAAAGCAATGCGGTGTAACAGGTTAAAGCTACTTTATAGAGGTGCAGCACAGTCATCATGCCGCTAAAGTGCGACGAACGCTTTAGAAAGCGTAAAATATATAAACCCCAGCATGGCCATAGTCAGGAATGTACCCAAAATAGCGACTATTTATCAGACAATTTTCCTTTATTGAATTTAAAAGAGCCACAAATGGCGGAGGCCCTAGAGCCCTCTGCTGCAACGCTCGAAGTGAAAGGGCTTTGCAATTTGCGACCAAAGTGGACGATTTGCGTGGTTACCACCGCATCGTCATGAACGGCACCGCGGCACCACAGCCAGCGGCAGGTGAGGGCCTTGTGGCCGATTACCTTGTGCAGGCTGCGGCAATTCACGAGCGCGGTCAGCTGGTGGATGGAGGTCTCCGTCGCATTTAGCGACCCCTGGATGTTCCACAGCTCCTTCTGAAGACGAAGGGGGGGGGGGGGGGGGGACGAAGAGAAAACAAATCACGTGGGAGTGAGATGCATTGCGAGCACCAGTAACGAATGCTCCACTCGGCCGATCCTGATCGGTGGAGACCCGCACCTGCGGCGATCTTGACTTGCACATTACGGCCCAGACATTAGTCTCAATACATCGACCGGCCATTGCATAGTTTGGGACCGTCAACAAATGTCGGTCCTTTGTCATGCAGCTTTTCCTACGGTGTGTGTGTGGCTGCCTGTGAGCTAAGCCACGTGCTAGACAGGAGTCTCAGTGGAGCTTCTTAAACGATTGAGCTCTGAAATCTCCCTCACTAGTGCCTCAATCTCCCTGGTGAGTGTAACTGCCTCCTGGTGAGTGTGACTGCCTCCTGGTGAGTGTTGATGTGTCCTGGTGAGTGTTGATGTCTCCTGGTGAGTGATGATGTCTCCTGGTGAGTGATGATGTCTCCTGGTGAGTGTTGATGTGTCCTGGTGAGTGTTGATGTGTCCTGGTGAGTGTTGATGTCTCCTGGTGAGTGTGACTGCCTCCTGGTGAGTGTTGATGTGTCCTGGTGAGTGTTGATGTGTCCTGGTGAGTGTTGATGTCTCCTGGTGAGTGATGATGTCTCCTGGTGAGTGATGATGTCTCCTGGTGAGTGTTGATGTGTCCTGGTGAGTGTGACTGCCTCCTGGTGAGTGTTGATGTCTCCTGGTGAGTGATGATGTCTCCTGGTGAGTGATGATGTCTCCTGGTGAGTGTAACCGCCTCCTGGTGAGTGTGACTGCCTCCTGGTGAGTGTTGATGTGTCCTGGTGAGTGTTGATGTCTTCTGGTGAGTGTTGATGTGTCCTGGCCACTGTGTATGACCAAGAGAGGAGTAGGGTTGGAGGGACGGTGAGGTGGTTACTGCACTGCACTATGAACTCAGTGGCGAGTGATGTCTGAACTGGGTCTGGGCCTAATGCCACGCTGGTTCGTGCAGGTCACCAACCCACACTGACCAGCATGGTGAAGTATGGTCACACAACCCCCATTACCGACATGGCGTAGGGAAGGCTTTATCTAGCAGTTGATTGATAAATTGACAAAAGGCTGTAAATTATACGTTTAAGTTATGATATTTACATCGTCACACAATGTGTTCACATCACGATGGTATTTTAGAATTGGTAAATGTGAATTTGGGTAGGCTGGTGGTCTACACAGACACACACATGCCGCTCGCAATATGCACGTTCATATGGCCTTCACGAGGAACGCAATGTCACGTACGCGCACATGCATCATACGTACGTGGAGCGCAGCATTGCACATTTACATGTTAACCACCCCGTAGACTCCTCATCCGTGCAGTCAAAGTAAATCGTACATAAATCTCTCTCGCAGGCAAGACGCTCACGTGAGGAGCACACTAAACGGTTACCCAAAATGACGGGACCGAATTACGGCGAGGCAAACACGCCTCCACACACAAGTCACGAACAAAACGGGGATCCGTGTCATCGACGACGCAACAATAGCAGAAATAAAGCACATACAAAGTGAACTGTTGCTCAGGCCAGCAGCCCCTCGGATGCAGCCATGGTATCGCAGCGATGGCGATCCACGGCGCAGGGAGGAAGAGGAGGAAGAATCATTGCAAGCGGTGGGTGGTGTCGTGGCCCTGCGATGGTCGCTGTTTGAGCGGCGAGCGATGCCGACAACCGACAGGCTGGTGTGCCGTGGTTAAACAGAAGACGTCGTCCCCGTTTAAATGTTTATTTGTCGGTTTATTGTCGGCCCGACTTGTAACCGCCCCGCTGGGGGCAGTGGCACCTTTCCAGGTCAAGAGCCCACGGTTTTGCTGATTTAATGGGTCACTTGACAGCGACAGACATTTACGTTGTGACTGATAAAATAAATAAATGAATGTCAAAGTAATTGATGATAAAAGTGAAATATCGCAAACCGTGGAAATGTGGCCATTTAAATACCACGATGATGTTAGACAGTTAGAACATTACGATGAAATGAAAGCACCAATGGGTTAAATATAAATAAACTGCTGTAACATTCACTTCTTTTTGATGTTGTATTAATTAGTATAAATTTAAATTCAAATCGTTTAATTCCAGGACACTCTGCATGAACTTGACATATTAGCGTGTTTAGGCTTTGATGTAAACTCAAAGTGCGTTGCTTCAGTATATCTCTATTCTGGTTAGACAAATAAATCAAGCGACTGCATGGACAGTGGTGCACAGGCACAGCTGCACAAACACTCGCCACAATTCGTGATCGACACTGACATATATAGTGGGCTGACATTTCAAAAGGTAAACCGAATAAACGTGCCTTTTTATCATAATCGTTCTTTTTTTTATCAAAATATTTCACTTTTTAGGAACTATCCACGTCTTATCCGAGAAGGGAGGGCCATGTCGACTTCAAAGGGGAGTCTGCCTAGAACATTTGACCCGCTTTATAAACACCACCCGTCCGCAGGAGAGACACGTGTGCTTTCCTACGCATCTTTTTTTACAGATTTCACCCGGAAAACCCCTTGAGATGGAACCTCTCGTTTGGAGAGGTGCCAAGGGTGTGGATCGGCGCACGTACAGCGAACGCATCCGAAGCACAAGGCAGCGTGCGTGACAAATGTGGAGAGAGTATTTCGAATTCTCTATTTCTGGTTAGCGTACGACGCCGTGGAGGCCAATATCGTACAAGCACGAAGGCTTCCGTGGCTGAGTGTGAGTGGATGTCCCCGTGTGGGTCCAGCCGCTCCGTGCGTGCGAGCGTGGGTGCGTGCGTGGTGCTTCAGTGGCGCAGCCAGATGAGCTTCGCGTGCCGTTCCAGATGTATGGATTCATTTTCTAAAATCACACATTGCATCATAAGATCCAAGTGGCGTGAGTGATACCGAGGCAAGAATGCGCCTTACAGTCGCCAAGCCCAGGGCGCAAAGGCCCAAAACGTCATGCAGCCAGCAGCAAACGGCACTATCAAAGTTGTAATAGAGAAGAGATGACGTGTTTTGTTAATTAAGGTTATTATTGTACGAACTTTGAGACGGTCGCAGGAAATTCCAAAGAATAGAGCAGTGCGAGGAAAGAAGCAGAAAGATAAGGGTTGTGACCTGCGGTGTGGTGGTTGAACCCAGTGTGGTGTGCTCTATGGTTTACAGATCACAGCCAAAGTTGTCCTTAGGAATCTAGGGTAAAAGCCTTTGTATCTGCAACGACCAACTTCAAACGATGCAATGGGGCAAAGGTTCCAACCCATATTTATTATAATGTTCAGATATGAAAGGCTTTTGTTTAAAAATGGTTACTCGCAAACATATCTTAAATCTGTGAATGTTAAAGTTTCATTTTTAACCGGCCATCTGTGTTTTTATGTAAATGATCTCTGGTGGTGCTGACCCTGATGAGGCATTGGCTTGTAAGCAGAAGAGTCGTGTTTGCTTTTTAATGAAGCACCATATTAATTAATTAATTTGCATACCAACGCATTAATGAATGTAAATCCTTGGCATGGTAAAACTTTTAGATTAGGTATCCAGTTAAAAGTTGATGTACCTAGATAGACTGTTGCCACTTTGAGCATATATCAAATCTTGACAGGTGCGTGTGTCTAATCTAGATTTCACTTTGTATGTGCTTCGTTGCTGATGTGACACATTCTCGACTCAATGGGATATCACATCTCTCCAAAGACACTGTAGGCCGGTCTGTATACAGTAAAACCTGCGTTAGTGTGCTTCAACCCTTGTTTACGTTCAGTTGTGTTTATTAAATCCTTTCATTGCATCTGCCACTCCACTATAGTTTTGCAAAAAAAAGTGTCCGCATATAAACAGCTACTAGTTTCAACGATATTTGCCAGCAGGATAATGCTTACATTTACCTTTCTAGATAAATATCGTGCTTAATGTTAAACATATCAACGGTTTTATTTAATCAGCTAACACCGAAACGTAACGAGCACGAGAGATCCAATATGAATGTAAAACTATCATGAAAATACGACGCGAACGGTGAAACAAAGCTGGTTCTTCGAATCGATGACTGACTACAAAGTTTACAGTCCACAGAGATCCACGTAAAATAACTTGCGGACAGCCGGTGCAAATTAACTTGGCCCTTGGCCTGGTCTGTACACAGGTTTCACTGTAGACACCGCTGATGGCCTCGAGTGATCAGCAGCCATCAGAAAACCCAGAATGTGTTTGTTGTTGAACGCTTACTTACAGTTTTCTCAAAATAGCTATAGTAAAGTTGTCCCGTAGTCCGGACCGATTGTAAAGGGTAAGACTGGTGGCAAGTGAATAATGAAAATATCATAAAGAATGAGCGAGAACACAAGTGGATTAACAAGCAAAAGCGATGATTGTAGAAATAAAAATGTTAAATCATAAGTAGTGACAGCATTTCCCACACCCACCCATCCTCTCCTTCCTCCCAATTACCTTTTGTTTCTAAGTTGTCCCTTTACAACGCTTGAATAATTGCTTATTAACCGTTGTCAGGGTACCCTTTAGTATAACAACCTATTTAAAAGATAAAAAAAAAGTGTGCTTTAAAATTCACGTTTGGTTATCCAATGCTGCTGCGTTTTTATCAACGGAGCTGTCGCTTGTGGCAGCGTAACGAGGCCGTAGCGCCGAGCGGCACGCGGAGCCGCAGGGGCCCGGGGACGAATACTACCCTGCCATGGCCGCTGTGCCTTGTGTCGTCAAGCGCGAGAAGCGATGTCCTCGAGTGAGGGCGCGTTACACATTTTATACATTTGAACCTCACACTGGCCCGTCATTTGCCTAAGGAAAACTGAGATGGAAAGTGAAATAACAAAATGCAATTCAAATATAATATCCCAATGTCGCACTCGCCGTGCTGTTCCCACAGTTGCTGTAAATTGCACCAGTATTGTGAGTGAAAAGATTTGTAAACTGCCTCGTGGTCATTAATAATTTTAGTAAATTTGTTCATCATTAAGGACACACTTCAGATGAAAAGAGGTTGAATTTGAACAGAGTGATGGCAGACAGGTTAAACACTCTGCCAAGGCTCCTGAATTCGAGGTAACAGTCCACGGGGGCACTCAATTTACCCAACCTAATTAATTGTTGAAGTTAATTGTGTAAATGTAACCCTGTAAATGTCTGCATTAATTCGAGCAGAGATCGTTGAGTTGCTCTTTCGGGGCCACAAGAAGCCTCCCAGGTGACAGGAGAACGCAAGCGAGCACTCGCACACACACGTGTCCGCAGCTTCCTTCCGTCTCTACGGCCTACGCGACGTGTCTTTGTGTTGATGCCGTGTTGTGCAGATTTGGGGTAGGGTGCGCTGGGTACGGTGTGGATGGTAACAGTGGTGTTCTGTACACAGCGTGGTGAATGTTGTGCTGTGTGAACCGAGTTTTGTGTATCGTGAGTGGGTGTCTGTGTAGGATGTGTATGTGTGTTTTAATATTTGCATGGGGCTCGTCAAGTGCTGTAAAAAAAAAAACTTGCTCAAAAGCTTTGCCGTTAAACAAAACAAAATGTAAAACCGGCTCCGTGAAAGAATTGCTCTGTGCGAGGTGTGCAGAGTGTGGGAGCGCTACCTGCATGGCAGGGAACTCCTGCACAGCGAAGATGATGAGCTCCAGCACCAAGGACTGCAAGTCCGACAGCATGCGGAGGCTGCCCGTCATCTTCTGCAGGAGACACGCCCCCGACAGTGCTCCGACAAACGGGCGGACAAACGGGCGACAACGTCGGCACGATCGACATGTCCCGGCAGCCCAGGTGCGGCGAGCGCGCGGCCAATCGGCCTCGGCTGTAACGGCCACTCGGGCACAGAATCCCAAACGCCAGTCCCCGCCTCCCACCACCACGCTACGTCTTCTGCACAGGCCCGATGATGGCTCAGAAACGTCCCACGTGGCGCACACACAATGAGATCTCAATCTTCATTTCAATTGGATCTGTCTTTCAATTTGAATCCGCTTGCTCTACAGAGACCCGATTCAAGTGAAGACCGAGATCGCAGTGTGTGTGTAAATTACACACGTGATGATGCAGATAGCGCTACCTGCTTCACGCGCCGTCAAGTGCGACGTGTTTAACAATCATCAGACACGTGGGGAGTGAAACGGCGGTGGGTCCTGAGGAATGTACTTTGGAAACTCCCACACTGGAGTACACGGTCCATACACAGATTCCAGTGTACATTTTTGAATATGCTACCACCACCACCTTCCATGAGTAGCAAATCATCGCTAACAGTGGCTTCATCTCCAAGGCACGAGTAAGATAATGTGGCAGGAATGCATGCACACACACACGCACACACACGCACAACAAACATCCCACAACACATCCACAGTCGCACTGTTGTGCCAACAAGCACCTATCAAGGCCGTCACGATCTACGAGGGGGTGGTGTGGTCAGCACCATGCATTGCCACCTTTGTTTCCCCATTTCTGGCATCTGCACACCATACCAGGTACTCATTTAAGGCTGAGTGGGCCTAAGAGTGGCCCAAGACATGTTCTGATATGGCTTGCCACTGATGCAGGCCGTGGCCCGGAATCGAACTTAAGTAATTAAGTTCTCAGCTCAATGCGTGAACCGCTGCGCCACTGTTCCACACGCACTCACACACACAGACAAGTTAAACAAATCCATGCACACGTGTTCCCACAATTACCTCCCTTCAGGTGGTGTTTTGAAAGGCTCAACCTTCAAGAAAATATCCTGCGGTGAAGATTTCAACCTGGTGACTCACTCTACCACGTGCACTGGATCAAACCCATTAAATCCTCCAAAGCACAATTCAGAGCAACCGCTCTCGCATAACCGACTGAACACCAAGGGAGCTATTGTATTCTGACACATGTGCGAGCGTGTTCACGTGTACAGATAGCCAAAGCGATCTCCTGCTCAAATGGGCATCGTGGCGGTGCTCATCTTCTGTTTACAGCCCTGAGCCAGTGGTGGACATTCCACATTCACATGGCTGGGGCGAGACTTTGCATAGGACACCACAGCTGGACTTTGAAGCGGCACGCATTTCATTGACCGCAGTGGGGTGATGGGCTGAGTCAACCCCCAGCCAGGATTTGAACTCGCAAGCTTCTGCCTGCGTGACGCTCGCTGCACCGCTGAGCCACCTGGCCGGTGCTTACAACGTCGCGTAAGTCATAAGCGTGAAATGGGTTTGATGAACGACGTGGGAGCCGAACCGCTCATGAGGGAGGCGAAGATTCGAAGGGGGGCTGGGAGGAGAGGACGGGGACGGGGGGGGTTGTTGAGCCCGCGAGAGGAGTTGCAGGGTCGTCATCGTGCCCAGTCAGCGCCGGATTATCCCAGTAGCACAAGTCGCCACGTTTGCTGAGGACCCCGCACTTTCAAGGGCCCCGCGCTAAATGTTTTCAAGCTATCAATTCCGGTTCAGTGATGCTGCACTTGCTCTATTGCTATAGTACTATACTGCCCTCAACTTTTATGAACTACTGGGTGTTTAAGGTTAGGGATTTGTTGACTTTCTGGCTGTATAGCAAATAAAAAAATACAATTACTTTACTATGCAAGTAAAAAAAAATTCGTGTTTAAATATTTACGTATTTTTATTTATTTAGGGCCCCTTCATAACATATGCTACAGGCCCCGCACTAGCTTAATCCGGCACTGTGCCCGGTGTGCGAGGGCTTTCATAGAGCGCGTCGGTAAACACAGCTGGGATCGCACGCACAGAGGACCAGCACGTGGCCACACAGTGCCACGCTCGCGCCAGGGCGCAATGCTCACCCGCAGGAAAGGGTTTTTCGTCTGGAGGCTGCAGTGGAGGTAGTACTGCAACACGTCTGCAACAACACAAGGGGGTGGGGGGGACGGTCGTTACGGATCACACGGAAGGGATGCGCGGCGCTCGCAACGTCGCTCCCCGGGGCTCAGGCAACCCCCACGCCTACGCACGGCGGCGCTAATCGCCCTGCCGTGCGAAAGAAGAAGAAGAAGACTGCACGTGGAATTTAATCATGAAACACGTTTACTCTCACGTGCCCAATACTCAGGGCCAAACGTGCCAGGGCAGGACCCTTCTGAAAACAAGTTCTGAGGCCTTCCTTAAAGAGAGTGTTGAGACTGAGGGAAGCTTTCCTGCTGGGTAAGCAGAGGGCATCATCTTCGTTGCTGCTGCGGCTGTTGTTGTTGCTGTTGTTGTTGCGATGACCGCATGCAAAGGCAAAAGCGATCGCCGTTGGTGGGGGCAGAGCTCTGCACTGCGCCCCGCATCACCGCACCGACGATTGAGCAGCCCACAAGGGCAGAGCGCGAGGCAAGGAGCAAGGCGAACACAATATCCCACTTGCAATTCCCCGCCCGAGGCTGCAAACGTGCCTGACTTGCAGCTAAATGAGCCATCGGTCTGTAGATCTGGACGAAGAAGCAAATTCATTGAGCAGTCGATGTTTCCCAAAAAATGTTTTTAAAGCATTTTCAGTTGCACTCAACATTCTGTTTAGGAATTAGAAATATAGAGTCAACAGATTATTGTGTTTTTCCCGGAAGCTGCGGTCAGGGTAATCCCCCAGGCGTTCGCTAATTCCACGGATTTTCTGCCGCGCAGCTCGGTCGGGGGGGGGGGGGATCATCATCGTGGCGATGTGGTGACGACGAGAGGCGCACGGGGCATCCGCGTTGCTTCTGCCCCGAACCTTTGGCAAGATGCAACGCAGAGCAGTATGTATGTATGTACGTGTGTTGAACTTCTATCGCACTGTACGTAGCCAACTGCGCTAATCGGAGGTGCGGGAGAGGGACAACAAGCTAAACACATAAAGCAGTTCTAAAGAAATGAGCTTTCAATCTAGATTATTTAAAAGTTGCATAGCACCAGTGGCTTCTTAATATCGGAAGGGCATTCCAGACCGCCGCAGGAGTGCATCTGAAATCTCGCGCGATGCGGTGACCGTCTTGGTTCAATGGCTAGCACAAAGCCACTGCTTCGAGGATGACCGGAGTTCATGTGATGATGGTATTATGCTCTTCTATTTAACGATCCAGTCTGCACAGTGCAGCCATGTGGCCCAGCGGGTGAGCGAGTGAGCGGCTCGCGATGGGAAAGTAGCGGAGTTTAAATCCTGGTGGGGGCTTGACTCGGCCCTTAGTCACTCGGGAGTCCGTGACGGAACGAGCACCGCTTTGTGGAAAAGTCAAGAGTGGTTTTGTTATGGGGAGACTCGTCCCCACCATGGGAATGTGGAATGTATACCAATGGTGAGGCCCCATTCGACTAAGCAGCTGTGGCACGAAGACGGCCACAGCCCAGAGCCGTCGGCAGCTACCGGGCATCGCAGGGTGGAGGGGAAGTGCAAACCAACCAGAGCAACAATAACAACAACAACTTGTTTACACGCAACCCACGCCACAACTCACTGCAGACAGGATAAACAAATAAACAGTGCTGAGATACACATCGACAACAGCGTCAAGAACTCCCATCAAGTACGTAATGTACTCTTCATAGCCCTCAGGCTCAGGGAAGTGGGCAGGATGTAAGCACCGCCTCAGCGCTCATTTCAGGAGGAACTCACTTTATTGGCTGTGAATAATCAGTCAACAAAGTCAAGGATTTTAATAGTCTTTGGCTAAATGGGTCTGAATGCGCCCAAATCTGGTCGGGTGTCGTAAGCTAAGCAGGCCTGCGCCTGGTGAGGTTTGCCAGGTGTTGTCGGTGTCGTGGGGCTGCGAGGTGTGGGCTGGAGGTGGCAATGCTGAGGGTCACCCCCTCGTATGCAGTGTCGTGTTTTTTTTTACAGATACTCTGCTTTCCTCCCACACGATACTCTGCTTTCCTCCCACACGAGGCCAAATATTCACAGACGGGATTGGCCAAACATCCCAATGAGGCAGCACTCTCCTGAACACGAGTCTTGAGACTCAGCAAAGGTATTCCTGGATAAATAATGATCATGTTTTTTTAATGCCCACGTTAAAGATGGCACGAGTACAATGCATGATTATTCACATACACCAGGCCACCGCCGGACTCACCTTTGCTCATGATGGAATATTCCTGTGTGAGGTTCGTGATATAGTTCTCCGGGGCCATGCAGAAGTCACTCACGCCCTGCAACCAACACAACACAAGATCACATTCCATCACGTGAGCAATGAACATCGCGAACGTCCGTTTCATTCAATCATCTGCCAGGATGATTGAATGAAACAGGCAAGCCGCGGCCAAGCCACGCCATTGCCCTCCCCCCAGTTGCCAAGACATGCTCCCTGGACAGAAGCTCTCTGATGTCTGGATATGGAAACTACCTCCCTGAACACATTGTCGACGAGATCGCCGATTCTGGTCTTCAGGCCTTCAAATGCCGAGCACATGGACATCGCCTAACTTCACTGCACGCCTTGCAGGACCGAGTCTTCGAGATGCAGTGAACGAATGATTATGCCATTCGATGTACTAATGTCTGATGTGGATATTGTTCACATTTGCACCCAATAAAAAAAGAAACACCCGATATAAGGAACTCAGTGACTGGCACGCAGTGGTCTACTCTAACATTAACGTGATAAGCGACTTGCATCACATACACTCATCTTAACACATGTGAAAGGGGCACCCCCAGTGGCAGGTGACCCTGTGTGGCACGAGGTTACCCGGCACCTGGCCTGCAAGTGGGTGTAAGTCTGCCAAAAGGGGGAGATGATTGCTATGCATAATCACAATTCAGTAATTTGTGGGTACATTTTTCGAACATGGAATATTTTTAATGACGTCAGGGGATCTTTAATGTCCGATGGGAACCAGACGGCATGAAAAAGCTGAGCTAATACACCCGCAGTATTAACCAGGGCATCCTGCAGGATTACAACTGGGATCCTTTGCGTCGCCGCTCCAAAAGACTTCACAGGAACGTAAGGTACTCTTCATAGCGGATGGTGGTTTTTAGTAACCATTTAGTAAATCTTCAATAACTCGTTTGTAACTCTCAGCGGACGATGCTCATGGACCGCAAGAGATCCTCACACCGACGCTAGGAGGAGCTCACACACGGACACAGACTCTCACCATCGCTTGTGCAATCACCCAACTAGTCGCTCGCTGGGTCGTTCACACACGCACTCGCTCGCTCGCACGATCAATCTCTCACACGATCAATCTCTCATAGACGCTCACCCATTCACTCACACACGATTTAGGGACATATGGAGACTAGGGGACATTCCACAGTGCGGATGTGGGGTGAAAAACATCACAATGGGAACCTCGTGAACAACTATATGTCCACGATCACTCATTCCCCAGAAACATCTCTGAGATTCACTCCGTATCTCCTTAAGCTCTCGAGTGGATATCAAAACTTCACTGTCAGATGTTGATTTTCCTCCATATGATATCACTATCATTATAATTATCATCACAAACTCGGCTAGAATGCCTAAGCAAGGCATGTGCGTGTGAGTTCTCAAACATCGCACATTCCTCTACTCCTTTGTCTAGCAATCCTTGTGGGCTTCAAGGCCTTTCAGAGGCCGCTTACCATCGGCCCTCTTTGAGCAGCCATAATGCCAAGAAAAACGAACATCCAGGCAAAGATAACGCCGACCTTGCTCTCGTTCCTTTGAACATGCGCAGCAAAGTTCATTGATGCAGTGACCTAAACCCAATCTTCCGCATTTTTCAGGCAAATTAATTCCTGGACAAGTGTAAAGTTTTCCCTCTTTTCTTCCTCCCCTGCAAATAATTTGCCAAGGGTGGCTCAGAGATAAAGCGAGAAGCTCCGCATCTGAAGGTTGCGAGTCCAAGTCCTGGTTTGGGGGGATAACGCAGTCCATCGTTGCTCCAGGGTCGATAAAATAAGCACCACATTGCAGCAAAGTCAGTTGCGGAATGTGGAATTTCAACCACTGGTTCAGGGCGGTAAACAGGAGAGGACCATCACTCAAATGCTCATTTGAGCATTGGACTTGCTAAAATGCATCTACTTTGTAATCATGCTCTCACAAATAAGAACCTTGCAGAACAAATAATACCACTAAGCAACAAAGAGTGTTCATATATATTATGCCTGGCAAGCAATTCAAAACAACGGCGCTTTGTTCGACATATTTAACGTTGGAGTTGTGGCGAGCAACAGAAATTCCATCGGAAACTCCTCGCCAAAACAAAGAAAGAGGTCGATACGAGACGCACGTGTTCCAGGAGAGAGCGGCTTTGCCGGTGTAATGCGGTTGTAAACGGCCCTTCTGAGGTGCCGTCAGGGGGGGAGGAGTTAGGTCACGTGGGGGGGAGAGGGGTTGAGTATAGAAGGAGGGGAACCGGAAGAGCAGAGAGAGTGACTGGGAGCCAGGAACAGAGGAAGGCCACGTAGGGCGAAGCGGGGTGTGGCGAGATCGCCACGAACACGGGGGAAGCGAGGATCGGCACCGTTGGCCAGCGGTGACCGACCCGAAGCAGCAAGGAGGCTGCAGTCAGCAGCGGGGCTGCACAGAGAGAGTGGGCAGCGGGTCTGCATACAGTGACAGCCAGAGGGTCTGCACATAGGGGTAGCAGCAAGTCTGCAGGGAGGAGGTTACAGTAGATGAAGCAGAGAGTCAGAGGGGTGAGGAAGCTATAATAGCAGTGAATAGCCGGGGGCTACAAATACAGGAGTTATAACAGAGTGCCGTGTGGGTAAAGACGTGAACCTGAATAAAGACACGAAGACAGAAAGAAGTGTTCGAGTCCTTTTATTACACTGGAGTCAGAAGTGAAACGGCATGGCGAAACAACTGAGGAAGAAGAATATCCCATCTCCGGCGTCGGCTTCATCATCGGACGACGACGATCTTCCTCCTGAGGTCGGCTTCACTTCGGCGGAAGGAGAGATCCGTGAGGGCCCGGGTGTGGAGGAGGTTGCCGCTGCGCCCGACCCATCTGCGTTGAAGGACGAAGATTTAAGATGGACCCGGATGGCGGAGCAACTGGCGACCCTAAAAACCGTCATCACGGAGTTGTGTGACCTTGTCACGCCAAGGGCGGCGTCGGAAGGTGATGGTGGTGATCGGCAGGAGCCCGGGTCGTCTTCGATGGCGCCGCCATCGACCACGCGGCGTGAAGACGCCATCTTGGGCGTGGCGCACCACGGAAGGCGGGAAGCCGCCATCTTGGGGCCGCCACGAAGATCGTCCGCCATCTTGGAGACACCGCGTTGCGACGCCTTGCTGAACTTGCCGCCGGAAGAGTCGGTGACGGACGGAAGCAGGCCAAGGAGCCGCAGTCGTCACCTTACAACTGTTAAGGAGTTCTCCATCGGGGGCGATTGGAGTGCGTTCGCTTGTCGATTTTTGGCGGCGGTACGAACGGCAAGGTGGACGGACGCCGAGGCGCTGGAGGTGCTTCCGACTCTCCTTGACGATGAGTCTGTTCGTTTTTTTCGCTCTATAAAAGCTGCGAAGAAGAAAACATTGCGTGGAGTCATCTTCTTGTTTCTTTCGGTAAAGTCACGTAGAAGGGAAGTAATAAAATAATAAAAATAAAACATAATAAAACAATTCTCACGACGTTTCGGCTACAACGCAAGCAGCCGTCTTCAGGTGAAGAATGAGACACTACCAAACTAGGAGCTTATATATAAGCTGCATTGGGGGTTGAAGAGCGCCTTAACAAAAAGAATGTGCATGTGAAGAGGGATTTAGCATATTCATGGAAAATGCGTAGGCGTTGGGCGGGGGGGTGTCAAAGTCATATTATGCCCATGCATTATGCAGGATCAGCAGCAACCAAGGGGGGTGCAGGGATTAGCAGTAACAAAGGAAAGGAATGTTAATGATATGTAGCTGCAGTTACTCAACAACCACGTAGAAAACTAAAGTATAAACTACATAAAAAACTAAAGTATAAACTGCATCGCACCATCAGTATACTTACTATACTCTATAATAAGCTGAGTTACTAACAGCAAGTAATACATTACAATTTTACCTCGTAAAAATTCTATAATATGCTTCCATCTAAACCTTATTCTCTTACATCACACGAGCATATACCGTACTATATACTGCCATAGATAAACCCAACATTAAATTATATACTGTAATTTAATGTTGGGTTTATCTATGGCAGTATATAGTACGGTATATGCTCGTGTGATGTAAGAGAATAAGGTTTAGATGGAAGCATATTATAGAATTTTTACGAGGTAAAATTGTAATGTATTACTTGCTGTTAGTAACTCAGCTTATTATAGAGTATAGTAAGTATACTGATGGTGCGATGCAGTTTATACTTTAGTTTTTTATGTAGTTTATACTTTAGTTTTCTACGTGGTTGTTGAGTAACTGCAGCTACATATCATTAACATTCCTTTCCTTTGTTACTGCTAATCCCTGCACCCCCCTTGGTTGCTGCTGATCCTGCATAATGCATGGGCATAATATGACTTTGACACCCCCCCGCCCAACGCCTACGCATTTTCCATGAATATGCTAAATCCCTCTTCACATGCACATTCTTTTTGTTAAGGCGCTCTTCAACCCCCAATGCAGCTTATATATAAGCTCCTAGTTTGGTAGTGTCTCATTCTTCACCTGAAGACGGCTGCTTGCGTTGTAGCCGAAACGTCGTGAGAATTGTTTTATTATGTTTTATTTTTATTATTTTATTACTTCCCTTCTACGTGACTTTACCGAAAGAAACAAGAAGATGAATCCCTGCAGTCACGAAAGCTTTAAATCGAAATTGCGTGGAGTGTTCGACGAAATGGCGGACGCGTACGAGCCACCGGATGACGCCCATCGCCGCTTCGTGCAGCGGCAACGCGCACCGGAGAAGTCGCCTGTAGCGTACAGGGGCGCCGTGCTGGAACTCGCGATGGCCGCTTACCCGGAGACGGAGCCTGACCTGCTGGAACCTCTCATCTTGGGGAAGATGTTAGAGTTATCCCGGGATCTGGGCATTCCTATGCCGGCGTGCGGTCACGAGAAACTCACGTCCCGGACCGCGGCCAAGTGTTTGGACGCCCAGTTCAATCTCCGCCGCTGGAAACAAGTCACGACGTGGACGGGCGGTCCTGTCGTCGATGGGGGGGCCGTAGGGTGGGACCCTACAAAGGCCGTGTACGTGCCGGATGCGAC